TCGACCTCCTGATCAAACCCATAGTCGACCTCCTGATCATACCAATCATCTTGTGCGAGTGCATCGTCCTCGCAGCCATCAATCATGTAACACCCCAGGTGTTTGTCACCAGTTAAGCAATGGGTTTGAGCTCAAACATGACAGATCAAGTGGTGTTGAAGAAGTCAAAGTCAAATGTATGAAATCGAGCTCAACTTGAATTTGGATAAAATGCCTTGTTTACATGATAACCCTTTTCAAAATATATATATATATTTGAGCGATGTTAATGAAACTGGTTTCATGTGTCTCACATCACCCTCTATCTATAGTGATCACTGGAAAAGTTTCATGACATTTGGAATAAAAAAGTCACATGAAATGATAAGTATATCCTAGTTGGAATAGTTTTACTAAGTGCGTGAATTGCACTATTAAGCGAATGGAAATATAGGTCATTAACCAAACCTTGCAACCATGCCCAAATGACTCTAGATGAACTCTACAACAAAATTCATGAAAGGTTCGTGTTGGGCAAAGGCCAAGAAAATGCTCCGATGGATCAAAAAGGATAATTTAAGATTTATCGGGATACTACTTTGGTCAAAGTAAAACTGTAGGTTCTATACCAGTTTTGGTATGGAGCCCTAAATAAAAGTTGTAGTTCTTGATGTGTAGAACAAACTTTGTTTTTGGACCAAGAGCCAGATAAGCATGGAAATAAGTCAAACCGAGGCTCAAACTTTGAATCAGTAGATGTTTTCAGCACTTGAAATTTTTCTAAGTCTGGGAACTGAAATTTCAGTTTCAGGTTAGCTTATTTGGAGCTCTGTACATCCCAAACCAGGACGAACCAGTTCATTGACCTTTAATATAAGTTGTAGTACTCCCTTAGATATACAACTTGTATTACTGAGGTTTTTGCTCAAACTGGCTGGATTAGTGAGTAGAAGGGGGCGAAGAATGCACTTTCAGTCGGTCGGTTACTGAACTGCAGAATTTGGTTTTGAGGTACCCTACTTTGAAGATCCATATCTACAAATATAGGCCGAACTAGTTCTTGATCCTTAAACCAATGTTGTTCACCTCACAAAGATATACAACTTTGCCTCTTGCGTAGTGATCCCAGGACCACTGTATCGGGAGATAGAGGATGGGAAAAATGGAGTTTCAGTCGTAAGTTTGAGGTGGTATTACATTTTTGAATCTTCAGAACAGTAGCAATGGCCGACCGGCCGCAGCGCTTCACCGCCGCGTGGCTCGACGCTCTCTCGCATGTCCACCACGTCGCCGCGCAAGACGTCGATTTAGAGAGCCCGAGAGCTCACTCATCCCTCCTCACTCGCCTCCCCACTCCCTCTGCCACCCCAGCGCCTCTCTCCGCTCTCCAGTCCGAAGCGGTCACCATGGACAGGAGGAGCTCCATGGCCGACCACCAAGCAGCACCGTGCCGCCCCAACCAACCTTGTCTTCCTCTTCCTGGCCTCGCTGCTCCTCCTCTGCGCCATCTCCTCGGTCGCGCGGGTCGTCTGCAGGTCGATGCCTCCCGCGCCGTCATTGGCCATTGCTTCTTGCTGCAGCCGGCCGCAACATGCATGGCTAGGCGCGAGGCCACAGCTGGCCGTGGCTAGGCCGGCTGTCCCTTCCTGCTGCCCTAGGGTCGCTTCCCCGCCGGATTCCCGGAGCCCGGCCACGTCCTCGAGCCGGTGCTCTGCTCTGTCTCCGTGAGGTTGAAGAAGGAGGACTCACGTGTATTTAGAAGCTCTTTCTTGGGTCCAGTTCTTGAAACATGTGACTCATGTGAATAGTGACGTGAGGACTGGCTTGTGATTATTTTGCAAGAACTTTGGAATTTCATAGTAATTCATAGGAAATTCGTAAAATAGTAAATGTGGACTTTTTGGAATCCTTGTAAAATTATCTATGTAGTAGATCTATAATATTTCATGTTTTAGTTTACAGTTTTAGCTGTAAAAATAGATTTATGCCTCTAGGTTTTTAATTCTAGTTGTATTTGTCTTTTTCATAACTAAAGATCTAGGGCTCCAAATGAAGTGAAATTTTGTGGCATGCTACTCATGTGATGTTTGATGTGTGGTAAAAATTTCATGGTCATTGGTTGCTGTATGAGTGAGTTATTAGTTTATCTTGCTCTCACATGATTTCTTGCTTTAGCATTTTGTATTTTCCATAGAGGTTGCTATACATATTCAAATGGAGTGAAATTTGTACAGTAGACTAATGAGAGGATATGTGAGCCACTGTAATTTTTGTAGAATTTATTGTATACTTTTGGTATATGTTCATTAAGTCACCTTGTTATCTAAAATAAATTAAGAAATGCATTAAAAGAATTTATTTGGCCATGGACACTAGGTTTTCTGGTGTTGTTTAGTCATGTGTGACATGTTGGTAAAGTTGGTTTTGCCTAATTATGTGTTTGCAACATAAGTTAATATTTATTTTCTTGCAAATGTGGTTTATGGACAGATCTGGGAACCTAGCAAAGTTCTTCATGCTAATGTGCTTTGTTGTGAAACTTGTTTATACAAAAGTTGTAGATAATTCATGTATCTAGCTGCTGTTAAAATTTGGTGGCATTTGGCCTTGTAGTTTGTGAGTTATGCCTGTTTAAAGTTAGGTTTTAGAAATGGCTGCTCTCTGTCAATCGTGGATCAGTTTCTGTAAATGTACAATTTCGACCTACTTAACTTGTGAATCATGCTATGCTGGTTATAGATGAAATGTAGATAATTTCATAAGCTTTCCAAAATATCTTCTTGCAAGTCATTTGGATTTGTGTAACTCCAGTTATAGCTAAATCTTGTAGCTGCTGTTTGCATGTCCAGAAATTGGCAGATTCCAATTATAGTGTTTGCTTGTATATTGTTAAGTGTGACTTATGCCTTGAATGATGATTGAGTTAGAGCACCTGAGATCTTGGAAAACTTGTGTCATGCTTGGTGTTGTCGTCTTCTTTGCCATCTTAGCATGATAGGTTGTGTGATGTTAGTTAAATAGCTATTGGTGTCTATGTCTTGCATAATCTTGTGTTTGTCTTAAATGCTTATGTGTGATGCATCTTGTGTTACCATTCATCACATTCATACACATGCATCTTGCATCTCATTTAGGTACGCTAGATGCACCACGTGAAGGATGAGATGTTGGAGCCAAACCTGAGACGGCGTTTGATGGACCTATCCCGAAGGTGGAAGGATCGGACAAGTGCTAGGACCTGAGATGTCACCAAGACGGTGCAAGCTAACCGAATCGACTTGTGTGTCGGATCCCGCACAAGCCCCGAGCATTCTAAGTCTCCCATGTTTTTACAAATATCTTGAGTATCTTTTATTGTTGATGATGCATTAAGTATAGGAATTGGTTGGAACCAATTGTTGCATTATATTCTTACCTTGTCCAGATAAAATCTTGTGAATCCTAATTAAGTGTAGGATCGAATGATGCTTAGCTATGCATAGACCGGTAGAAGTCGGGTGATTTCTGTCACTGCGAGATGTAGGATGAGCTCGTCACGGTTGGCTAAAATGGCTATCATGAAAAGAACCATGTGTTAATAATGAAAGTAGACCGGACGGGATGATGGTAGTGCAAGCAACAAGGCATGGAGGTCTTGGGTGTGAATCTATCCCGTCTGTAGGTCGCTTTAAGGACCGATACGCTGTCGCGTCTCATGTGTCATGTTGAACGCAGCCTAACACTTAGCTGGCCGGATAAGTCGTTCCGACCGCTTGAAGCCTAGTAGCTCGACTCGAGGCCGGGGCGCGAAAGCAAAGCGGCATTCGAGGTAGTAAGGATGTGCGGAGAGCCATTGGCATAAGTCCAAAGCGGGTTAGAGTCCCGAACAACCTTGGCAGAGTGGTTCTCTCGAGAATGTCGATCTGTTCGACTCGTGACTCTGAATCGTACCAAAGGTGACTCATTTGCGACCACTCGACGGGGAAACAGGGTTTGTGTTTAGGAATACCCTCCCATTTGGATAGGAATCGATTCAATCGCCGTCTCTCCCGGATAGTGAGAACTTGACTGAGCAAATGACAACGTAGATTCACTAAATTTAAAGATATGGTTAAATGATGATGATGATGATGATGATGATGACAATGAGTCATGAAATACCTGATATGGTTATTATTGTTTGCAACTTAATCAAGTGATTGATTAGTACAAAAGCTAATATAGATGGTAGGTAATGGCTAAAAGTCACCGCTAGTACAGTGAATAATGCTAATGGTTACTCAAGCTTTTATGCAAAAAGGTTGTCCAAATTAGATCCACTAAATTAAGCTATGCATGATCCTTGGTGTCATTTATTTTGGTTTTTGACGGGTAAGTCTGGCTGAGTACATTCGAGTACTCAGGGTTTATCCCACCATGTTGCAGGTGAAGTTCTCGGCCTGTTGAAGATGGTGGCTAACCACCGATGGGCTCGGTGATTCTATAGTTACTTCTCATCTATATGCTTTTGTCGGATGATGTCACTTATGCTAGCAATATATTTGGAACTTATATTAATGTAATCATTTGAAAGCTATGTTGTTTTCACTAAGCGGTTTTGAAACCCAAACTTGTACTTTTATTAATGAACCCATATGTAATATTATTTCCGCTGCAACCCTGTGTATGTGATGTGTATTTGCTTAATCACGCGATCTTGGTTGTGATGTTGATTTACCGAGGTCTTTCGGGATACTCGGCGGACTACCGGGTTTATATAAGTGAAAGTATGTGTGTGTCAACGTGTTAGCGGGGACAGCCGTACTTGATCTTGTATAAATTGGACGGTTCTGTTACAGATCACCACCTCATTGTAGCCCTCCTGATCATCCTCATTGTAGCCTTCCTCATTATTCTGAACCTCATCAGTGCAGCCTTCCTCATCCCCCTGCTTGCAGCCTTCCTCATCCTCCGGATCGTCCTCGTTGCTGACCAACTCTGCTGATCCATCCATTCCAGCCCCAGAAGTGTAGTTGCAGCCTTCCTCATCAGCTTGATCGTCTTCATTTGCAGCCTTCCTCCTCATCATCATCTTGATCATCTTCATCACAGCCTTCCTCATCCTCCTCATCGTCATCCCCATTGCTGTCGATGTCGTCAGCAGCCAGAGATCCAGTCCCGGCGTAGCTGCCATCGTCCTCATCTTCCTCATCCGTGAAGGCTCCAAACCTGACATCCTCGAACCCATCCGAGGAGTCGAGGCTGTAGTCGGAATCTGAAGCATAAGCTCGGACGGGCAGACCACGGGTAGCAGCGCGGTACACGTCGTCGTAGGAGTCCATCTCGCTCTCCGTGTCAGAATCATCAGTCACGCCGGCGTGGGTGCCCATGACCTTGCCGCTGGTGATGGCCACGTTGGCACCCACGGCTGGCACTGGCACTCCAAAGAACGCTGGAGGCGCCGGACGGACGACGACCAGAGGCGCCGGCTGGACAACCACGGGAGCAGGAGCCTGGCGGACGACGGCGGGAGCGCGCTGGACGGGAGGCGCAGCGTGGACGACCACGGGAGCACGAGGCGCAGGGTTGACGACGGCGGGGACGCGTTGGACGGGAGCGCGCTGCTGGGCCCGGGCGGGAGGTGGTGGAGGCGCGGCGCCGCCGGGGCAGAGAAGGACGACGCCGAGGCGGAAGGCGAGGTAGGCGTCGACGGAGGCGTACTGGACCTGGTCAAGCGAGAGGCGCGGCGCGTGCCAGGCGCTCATGGAGACCTCCCTGGGCTTGCAGATCCCGGGGTACCCGAGGAACCGTTCCGCCATCTGCTCGACGGAGGCGTTCCCCATGCCGGCGACGGCGCGGAGCTCCCGCCCGCGCGCGACGTCGAGGCCGTAGTGCTCCCACAGCATGCGGCCGTCGTGCGCGGAGCCCGAGCCGACGAAGGTGACCCTGGGGTCGGCGAGGAACCGGCGCAGCGCCTCCGGGACGGCGTCGGCGCGGGCGAGGTGGAACACGAGGCAGCGGTGGCCGATGCAGAGCTGGAGCGTGGCGGGGACGGGGATCTCGCCGCGGAGCAGGGCGCGGGTCGGGGTCCACTGCACGCCGAGGCCGACGATGAGGCGGCCACGGTAGTGGAGGCCCCCGTGGAGCCAGCGCGTGGTGGCGACCCAGCGCCGCGCGTCGGCGGGCCGTGCCGTCTCCAGGGCCGTGCCGTCGCCAGGGCCGCGAACCGCTCGTCGTACACGCGGACCGTGTAGGCGTCGTGGTAGGGCGTGGTGCGGCGGAGGCGCGTGGAGACGGGGATCGCGTCGTCCATGGCGGCGGCGGCGGCAGCGGTGGGGTTTCTTTCTTGGGGTTGGGGTTTTGGACAGGGAAGGAGAATAACGAGAGAGGATTAGAGGAAATATAGCGATTTATAATTAATTATTTATATAAATCAAGTCAAGCTAAGTCGGTTGGCCGAGCACTCAATTTATGATTACTTTTACTACATATATGGCGATTTTATCACAATTTTTTCGGATTTCATATCCAGACTTTTGGTTAGAAATCATGTATGTGGTAAAAAATACTGTTAAGTGTTAACCGTACTTAGTAAAAATCATAAATCTGCCTCTTATGTTGTGACAGTGAGTTTGTGGGATGTTAGAACTAAGTCACTTAATTAATCCATATGGCCTTGATTAGCCTAATCACATGAACATCTAGCAGAATTGTGATTGCTGATGTTAAATATTGAAAGAACCAGAGGAATGTATCTAGGGAGTTAACAAAAAAAATCAAGGTAAATTATCTTAGGTATAAGTTTCCAAGATGTGTGGTTCAAAGAAAAGGTATTAAATATGTATATAATGCGTTTAACCAACTAATTGTCCTTGTTTCTACCCTATCATATCAGTGTGCTATTATAATATTTATCTCTAGCTTGAGAAATTAGGTTTCATACATGAATATGTTGCATCATGAAATCGATAGATGTTTTTAACTAGGTTACTTGAGAAGTTTTACGTTTTATCGTCATAGATTACTACATTAACCACTGGATGTTCTCCTAGTAGCATACCCATATCATTGTGCCAAGGGATTTGACAAATCAAATTTGTATAGTTTTTTTTTGAAGATATATGTGTTTAATCACTTTATCATTACTTCCATGTTACTATCATGTCTTATGTATTTATCTAGTGTTATGAATGCTATCAAATCAAATTTGGGTAACTTATTATTCTTTTGTATTTTTGGTTTCTATCAAGACGACTCTAGATTGATGATGATTGTTGGAGACGAGGCATGGTTCTTGTAAATTCCAAAGACGACCATAGTGGACAAGAATGTCGAGACTAGAGTGTCGACATGGTGGAGCTCTAATTAAGGTGTTCAAGAGTCGCTAGTTGTAGTTCGGCCTAGCCGTTCGGACTCCTGATTTTTTTTTCACGACCGTGCCGTAGCACGATTTTCATTAAGAGGAAGAAGATAGTTTAAGCATTGCACGGTAATCTTGCGATTACCAAAACACACTCACACCACGAAGCAAGGATTTACTTTAGATTACATTGCACCAGCTTGCGACCAAGAAGCTACCACTACCAATAGCAAAGAACTAGTCATAGAAGGGGTGACACAGCGACCTCACAGCTCTGAAGCCTGACATCACCCAGAGGTTGGCCTCGTCGACAATACAATACCCTGCAACAGTTCGCTTGTCGTTGCCGCAGCGTTTCTGAATGTCGGCGCGTTCCGCTCCTTCTACAAAGTCCAGCCCACCAGAACGAACAGAGAATCAAAGCCACGGCGGTTCTCCTTGGGCAGCACCTTCCTAGTCCTTAACCACCACAGCATCACATCTTCTTTGTGTACCTGAATCTGATCCAGGAGATGTAGTTTAGTCAAAATCGCTGCCCAAATCTGCCGGCTCAGAACGCAACCCAGAATAATGTGGTCCATCATCTCCACAGCCTGTGCACACATAATGCAGTCATCTGAATCCTGAAGGTCATGCTGTTTTCTCCGTGCAGCCGTCCAACATTGTCGATGGACCACCAACCAAAAAAAGAACTTAACCCGCGGAGGGGCAGCCGTCTTCCAAAGCAGCTTCGCACCCGGAGGTCTTGCCGATCCAACGAACATTGCGCCATACGCCGAAGCTGCAGAATACTCTTGATCGCTGGACCACCTCCAACAGAGCTTATCAGGGATTCCAGGAGAAAGCTGAACTTCCTCGACCAAATCTCAGACGCGGAGATAGTCCAAGATTACCTTAACAGTGGGCGCCCCTTTGATGTCACGAACCCAAGCCCTTTGGCAGAGCGCTGAGGCAACAGTTCTTTTCCAACATGATCGCGGCACAGCTTCAAAGAGGGAAGTGGTTCCCTCCTGCATCCAAAAAACGGTCCAGAAAAAGGTTGAAGTCCCGTCACCAACTATCATCTTAGTGGATGCCTGGAACACTGCAGACACAGCCTTATCCTTGGGCACCGGCAGTTGGTGCCAAGCACGCCTGTGATCACTGATCAGTGCGTTTTACTGTTTTAGCCATTCCCACCTCAATCTCAACGCTACACCTTCTCGACGTAGATCAATCAGATCAAGTCTACCCACCTCCCGAGGTCTGCAAGCGATCCCCCAGGCCACTCGGCAACGACTAGCAATGGCAGATTCCGTGCCCGTCCAGTCCAGATAAACGCGCGCTGGCGTCTGACAATGGCCTCAATCGCCCATAGCGAGAGACAGACAGCAATGGACAGGCGGATTGGAATTGCCGACAATGTACTTTTAGCCAAAGCGGTTCTACCAGCAAGGTTAAGCAATTTTCCCTTCCAACAAGGTATCCGCTTTGCAACCGAGACAATCAAGAACTGCCCATCGCTTCGCCGTAGCTCGAATACTGACAACGGGATGCCCAAACACCGACAGGGGAAGTCTTCAATTGTGCAGGCATGGGTGTCAATGATCTGTTGTCGATCTTGATCTGAGCAGTAGATCGATCGTGTAGCAACGCACTTCTCCAAATTGGTGAATAGACTTGAAGCTGAAGCGAAGATCGACAGGGTTGTTTTGAGCACCTCCATATCTAAGGCATTTGGAACCAAAAAAAGCACCAAGTCGTCTGCATAAAGGGATGCAACAGCGCTGCACCCCAAACCAGCTAGATAGCCTTCATCATCCAACCAAGCAAACAACTTGTTCGGACTCCTGCTGATGCACTAAACAAAACCGTCATCCATTTTTAGCACCAAGTGGGATTCATATTTTAGTGAACAATTGTCAGATTGTATGCCATTTGGAAAATTACTCTATTATACTGTTGATGCTGGCATATTGTTTGGTCTAGGTAGCATCACGTGGCAAGCGGCTCTCAAATCTAACCAGGGAGCTTCAAGAGGCTAGCTATTGTCTGTCCTAATCTAGTGTGTTTTATTTGCCTATTTTTCTCGCTCTCTATGGCATGCCGCATGCATGCTAGCTGCAATGTGTAGCTTGCTAGTGGACACTTACAACTCTTTACGAAACTCACAATTACAGTTATAATAATCGAACAAGATAATATTCCAAAACAAGTAGCCAGTACTCTAAATCAATAAGATACTACTCCAAATAAGAAAAAAATTACTATATAATTGTCTAGATTGAGCAAAATAATTTTTTTAAAAAATATACCACTAGAATCATTAGTTTTACGGTTGAAAAACTCAAAACAACTTTATTTTAACGGTTTGGCAGATCTTACACACGTGAGTGCATAGGAGAATCTAGCGGGCATTAAATTTCATTATATTAAAATAGGAGGATATATCTAAAATTTTTCCTTAGCTACTTCTAGCATTAGGCTCAACTAATGTCACGGATAAAAAATAATATTTTTGTCCATAGTTGTTTTAAAATATGGATATACATGCTGAAAGTGTGCTATCCGATTCGGTAGCTAAGATGATGTTGACAATGGTACCTAACAATGACTGTCCCATCTCAAATCGCAGGTGGTGCTAGAGCTGACGAGTGACGAGGCACGACAAGATGGTGCTCCATGTTGGACAACGGCCAAAGCTGAGCCAAAAAGAAAAGTTATGGACTAAAATGCACTTTGATAATTTGTTGATGAAATTGTTTCTAAAATACGAAGTTTAAGGACTAAATCGATCACTTTAATAGTTTGAGGCATGAAACTGAGGTCAAAAGAAAAACTTGAGGACTGAAATGGCCATTTGCAATAGTTAAAGGACCAAAATGAGAATTCAACCTTTTAAAAAATAACAAGCTCCACTAAAATAGACGCATTTAAGTGTGCAAAGTAGCAGTAGTATAACATTTTTTTTACTCTTGCTATTTATCTGTTTTATTGTGCTTTAGGATTTATGTTATAACTGTCTACTTTGATCGCATTTATAAAAAATCTTACAGATCTGACCATATAAAATCTATCGACGTATAACTAGACACTCATCTGATTAGGCATGGCGGGATAAACGGTTGGGGTTTCTGATTTTTCGATCGATCTAAGCAGAGGTATATCATCGAACTGAAAGATTTGGAAGCAACAACAAATAAAACCGTGCTAGCTTATAACAGCTGGGAGATCATTCGCAACCACTCCGATCCGGCCCGCCGCGCCGCAACAGAAAAAAAAATAAAACGGAATGATTTGCAAAAGGTTCCTCCGTCCCCGGCTAGGGCGCTAGTTTCTGCAGGCTATAAAGCACGCAGGGCAAATCCTCTCTAGGGCGCTAGTTCTATCTTCTTCTTCTGTAGGCAAATTCTCGGCCTTCTATTTATTTACTGCTGGCACAAAAACATTGCTCTCTTTCTGTCTTTCTTCTATCTTCTTCTTCTATTCTATTTCCCACATGGCTCGCCACCCGACGACAACAATGAAGGTCCTCGCCGCCTGTTTCGTTCTCCTCTTTCTCAATGGTAATATGCTATGCTGAATTGTCGTCTACATTTATGTATATACTTCTCTAGCTTATTGCATTGTCGTCTACATTATATATACATACAGATAGATTCTGAATGAATTTCTATGCATGTAATGCAGTCGCGGAGTCGCGAGCAGTGGCCGGCGGCGGTAACGTTACTACGTCCAAGCGCCACCACGAGCACGGTCATCACCACGACGGCAAATGGTCGACGCACAAGCACAAGCTGTTCGTGTTCGGCGACGAGTTCGCGGACGCCGGCAACCTGGCGTCGGAAGCGTTCCTGGGCGGCTACTCCAAGTCGTGGCGCTACCCGTTCGGCATGTCGGACCCGGCGCACGGCCGGAAACCCACGGGCCGGTTCTCCGACGGGCTGGTGCAGTCGGACTACATGGCCAAGATCATGGGCCACCGCGAGTCCCCGCCCGCCTACAACGGCGACGGCTGGGACGGCGACGTCGTCGACCCTTCCAGCATCAACTTCGCCGTCGGCGGCGCCGGCGTGCTGCAGGCGCCCCACGCCGCGGGCCACGTGCCCACGCTCCACGCGCAGGTCACGCAGCTATATTGTAGCTGGCTACAAAAATAACTTATTATGTACGATAATTACTATGTTAATTTACAAGATTATAGTAAATTCTTACTAAGTGGTTTAGTATAACGTTATGGTAAATATTCACATGTGTTATAGTAACCTAACTATCGTAAATATGTATTGACATTATCGTAAATTAGTGTATAAAATTATCGTAAATGCAGGTGGTTATAGAATAACTTATTTTGTATAGCTGTGTGTGTGATGATGATGATGATGTGCAGTTCGATGCGTTGATGCCGAGGGTGGTGGACGAGCTGGCGAGCGTGGTGTCGCAGCTGCAGGACATGGGGGTGACCAAGGTGGTGGTGAGCACGCTGCCGCCCGTTCGGGTGCTCGCCGTGGCTGGCGAGGGGGTCCAACTACACCTCCTGCCTCAACGGCTCCAACGACGGCCCGGCCAAGCACAACACGTTGCTGCGGGACCGGCTGGACGGCGACGACGACGTGATGGTGCTGGACGTCTACACGGTCATGATGGACATGGTGGCGCCGCCGGCCGAGGGGTCGGAGCTGTCGTCGCGGTTCGCGGAGCGGCTGCAGCCCTGCTGCGAGAGCTACGACGAGGACGGCGCCTACTGCGGCGACCCCGACGACCGGTACTGGCTGTGCGACAGGCCGGAGGAGTACTTCTACTGGGACTTCGTCAACCCGACGCAGGCCGGGTGGAGGGCCGTCATGCAGATGCTCCAGGGACCCATCATGGCCTTCCTTGGCATCTCACAGCTCAACCACTTTTGAGATGAGTTGTTATTAGCTTAGGATTTGATCTGCATGGAGAATAGAATAACTAATGGACGAAGGCTATATCTTAGTTAGATTAGATTAGGCGTCTAGCTACTATATCTTCGTTTTGGAATACTTAATAATTCTTCGTCCATGATTGCTTATGCATATCATAGAATCAGATAGCTAGCAGTTTAGGGTTTGGAGTCCATCAGCTGATGCTGCCTTATATTGTACTACATTTCATTTCATCATCTAAATATAATGGAGCATCGATCTACATATTTCGGGTTGAGTATATATACCATTGCATTTCTTTTTATTTTTGGGCACAAACATAATGGAAATGTGACTTGTTACAAACTTATGCGTGAACATTTTAAGCCTTTTTATCAGCAAGTAATAAATTGCATTGGATGTCACAGATTTTTTTATATGTGCAACCATTCTTTAAAATTAAAGTATTATCATAGATGGGTTGTTCGTCCAAGATCACAGATGCGCCAACGAGTCTAGACTTACATGGACGCCCATGAGTTGTTCAATAGTAGCGACACAACACAACATGTTCGTTTTTTCTGTGAGACCCAGCTACAGACGTAGACTTTTTTTTTCGAGACCCAGTTACAGACGCAGACGCTCACATATACGAGCGCACACTCACCCCTATGAAAGGCACGCACGCACACCCTACTCCTATAAGCACCTCCGAAGAACTGAGTTGGACCGGCAAATATCGAGATTGACGAAGTCACCATAAGCGTCTCGTTGTCGACAGGCACGTCGTCTACCACTAAAATAATAGCGCCATTAAACCCTGAAATAAATCCAGGAAAATGCGAGCACCCGTGTCAAGTCGGGGAATTGAACCCGGGTGGGCAGGTTCCACCACAAGGAACCCAACCAGCTGAGCTGCGCTACCCCTCGATGACACTAATGTAAATTTTGTCCAAACACCTCAACATAATTTGATTCACATATCAAATTTTAACTGGTTCTGCCCTCTGATATCAAATTTGACCAATCCAACAAGCTGCCCCTCCTTCCGTCAACTAGTAGAGAGGCACATACGACATGCACATGCATGTATAATTAACGCTGTTTCTTTATATTTTGGGGCAATAGGTAACTATCGAGACCTTGTCATTTCTTTGCTAAATTCTTGCATTGGTCATCAGCTAGCTCAGAAACTTCCATTATATTATTATTAACAATTTTCATCGCTTTAACGCTTCTGGAAATCCACAGAAATCTTGTAAATATTGTAGTAAAGAAAGAAAATATTAGATATATATTGAGAGCACTACTCCCTGGTCAAAACGAAGGGTGACACTAGAGCAAGTGTGTAGAGTGAGCAAGTGTAAAGCAAGTAAACATTATGATGACAAGTTCTGATATTTCTACACTATGAATTGAATTGCATAAAATAAAGAGGAAGTGTAAACTGAACAAACCACACAAAGAGGATGACACAAAATATATCCTTGTGGTTTGGTGACTTGCCGATCACCTACATCCACGTTGAGGCGAGTCAAAGGATTACCACTCCTCTACAAAACTCAACTACCCCTCAAGGTAGGCTCCGACCTGAGCGCTTGTGTATTAGCTGGCTTGATCACTAGGTACTCCAACAAGTCTTGTATCCACTAAAGTTGCTCTTTGCCTCTTTGACCGGGAATGAGCATAAGAGCCCCTCACAATCACAATCTCCAGTTGACTGTTCATGGAGTCACCGCTACTCCAAGCCGTCTAGGTGGAGGCAACCACCAAAAGTAACAAGAAATCCACAGCAAACTTGAGCCACTAGATGCTATATCTCAAAGAAAATGCACCAGATCACTCCAATAATGCAATCACTAGCAAGCAATTGAGTGTGGAGAGTTTTCTTGAGCTCTAGTATGTGTGGTTATCAGATGGGAGTGCCAAGAGAGCTAACAATCCCGACCACACCCTCTATTCATAAGTCCACTTAAGAAATTAGCCCTTACAAGCTATCTGCTGCATTTTCATATGCACCAAAGAGCTCACACCAAAGCTTTCCAATTTCTTCAAACAAGCCGTTATTATACGAACACTCCAATGTGCTCTCCATTGAGCCACCGAAGAGCTCCGATGCGGTGTCTGCGCCTCTTGGTTGCTCTCTGGAGTCACTCTCCGGTGCATCACTGGAGAGTTCTGGTGATCTATATTTAACTCTCTCTCGCTCTTCAACCGCCAATGCATCTAATCTTTGGTGCCCGTAACTCCTGGCGGCACCGAAAGATAAGGTGTTACCTCTGAAATTGGATGACAAATCCATTGTACAGAAGTTTTGTTGCACACCTTTGGCACTAGAGAGCTCCGATGCTCTCAAGATGATTGAACCAATCTAGTTATGGGCACTATAGCCAAGCTCCGGTGCCACCTCTCTAATGCACACTGGAGGCATCTGTGCATATAAAAATACTCCATCGAGCTCACTCTCAAACCTTTTAAAAATTAGCTAGCTCTTCCTACATGACAACTAACATCTTTAGCATTGATTTAGCATTTTCAAAACATTTTTTGAAGGTTTTCACTTGCTTCTTCACCATGCCACTCGATCTAATGCATATGAAATGTTAGACCTCACCTAGTGGACTAGATGACCATATTTACCAAAGATTTTTCCCTCTTTATAGTATGGCTATCTATCATAAACTAGGTCAATCACTTCTCTACACACCTTAGGCTAGTGAAAGCAAATGCTATATTATACCTTTGCCTTTAATCCTTATGCTAGGGGTTTGCTTTTATCTCCATCCATCATCTTCATCATCTCTTTTCAAGTTGAGCCTTTGCATCACTTGTCTAAGCCATCTTCTCCTTGATGGCTCCATGTTGCTCAACACCACTTATGGATTAAATATACACTCTCAACTCACATGAAACATGTTAGTCCACTAATGTTGTCACTCTATTACAAAAATCAAACCGAGTCTTCCAATGTCCCCCTTTTTTATAATTGATGTCAACCTTATAAAGATATGGAAAGAACTTAATTTCTAACCTAAGACTATACACATGTATATTGCAAACTTGGATTTGGAATTTTATGCCTTTTTCATCCATAGCATGAAGATCATGGTATATGTTGGGTAAAATTCACAAAATTCAACTAGGTAGTGACAACTCCCATACATGTGTGCCTAAATGGTTTGGTTTCAAGTCATGCACATATGAATGGATATATGGAATTTGTTGGAGGATTTTCACTACTTAGTGATGCTATTAAAGGATGAGATGTATACCTTTGTAGCATTAATCAAAGCATATACATGTTAGTCCACTAATGTTGTCAATTACCAAAACTAAACTAGGTATTCTAGTGGCGCAATGCTATGGCACAGTTCCACACAAGCGTGAAGTGATAAGCAGCAAGGAGGCTGCATGCGAGGAAGCGCAGAGGCATGGAGACTGCAGGGCTGGATGACATGGTTAGTGGGTCCAAGGCAAGGATTTTGTGGTGGTGTGGTGTTTCCCTGATGATGGCTTTGTGATTTTGGTGTGGAGGCCAGCAGTGTGCACTTGAGGTTTCATGCACAGTGGTGGTGGCATGGTAGTGACTATGGTATGTCCGCTCTTGCATAGCATGATGGCACAACAACGAGGAGGCTATGTGGTGGCATGGTGGTGTCCCACACATGGCAGTAGTCATAGACCCTCGAGGCATGGCTTTTTGTGTGGCAGTTGTTGGGTAGTAGTATGGCAAGGCGATGCGCCATGAGTCTCCACAAAGTTGGTGAGGTGGCCGGCATGTGAGAGGTGGGCCAACAAAAGTGCCTTTTCTAGGTGGTTTACGGGGTATGGGCGTATGGCGGCGGACATCCCACATTACGATTGGTCGTTCTAGCATAAGAGGCCTTCTAACGGAAGTTAGAAGCCCCAATGTCATCTCTACTATTCCCATTGAGGCAGTGAGGTTGCTACTTACTACGGTGTACGTGACTAGATCTCGGAGGGTGTGTATGGTATGGCAATGGTCAGAGGTAGTTGCTCACATCTGGGCTTGGCGGGTTACAATGGGCCATGATAGCTAGCCCTGCATAGTAGGGGCTAATTTGGTGTGGGACAGCGTTGATAGATGGTGCAAATGGAATCGATGACGTGATAGCTACATGGCCTACAGTGGATTGCGATGACTAGCCCTACATGGTAGTGACTAGATAGGTGTGGAATATCGCCTATAACGACTGTGTAGCGCAAGCAGAGACAATGTCATGTTGGCTTTGCCATCCAAATGATGGCGGTGCAACTTGGTAGCTGTCGGTGGTGGTGTAGTGCTTATGACGTGACATTAATTGTACAATTTAGTTGTTGAGTGAAGTAATAGTATAGAGCATGAGATAGGGTTGTGCCACGTGTGTTGAGGTCTCAATCCAATGCCGCCATCGATAGTTATGCTTTAGTGTCTTGTTGCTTGACCCTTCAAGGTCGTTGTTGCTATGCGTATCTGATCTATGTTTATTCTTATTTTTAATACAATTGCTCAGTTCTCCTATCTGGTTTGTTAAAAAGAAGTGGAGTTGTAGATTTGTTGCTTCTACCTTTCCCAAGTGACAGTAAATGTTATCACTACCACATCCGATTTTAAAAGGCAGGGATTGGATGACATAGATGGGCATAAAGGGGTGCTGCCTTTAGAAATGGAGACAGACACCAAGGGTAAAGGCACGCCTCTATTAACACTCAATTAACAGAGGTGAGCGACTTAAGGGGTCCTCCTCTATTGATGCATTACTGGAGGCAGACGTTAAAAAATGAACATACTCAACAATTACAAATACACATATGGATTCATATATACTGTAAAGTACAAGGATATCAAGTGCGTTGCTACATGGATCGGAAATGATTTAGAATGAAATTAGACGATCTATATTTACTTGTATGAAGGGATAAACAATTATAAATGATTTTTATTGGATGATATGGTATGCTGATAAATAAATACATGTTAGTGGATGATGTGACTTGCTGACATAGAAAGCCTAGAT